AAACAGCACACATTGGAGAGACTCTTGTGTGCCTTCATAGCTAATTGGTGCCTCTTCAACAACTGTTCTCATCCTCTTCAATCCATTAATTCCTAGACAACAGCACTTCTGAGAAGCCGTAAAGTGAGTTAGCCAAAGTCAAAGCACTCATCACCCCCCTTTCCATTAAAGCTCCGCACATCAATACCTGTCCACTCCTGGAGTACCGTCGTCTGGCCACAGATCTGATGTTATCCCTACATGATGTAACCGGCGGTTCACTAACAGGCCTAATAAATGGACAATGCATGTGCCTGTCCATTAACTTCTAACATGGTGTATTACACTTGAGAAACCCAACTTTTTCAAGGTTGTTTAAGGGTGCTTTTTGGATTGAATTATGCATGAGGGAGGGAGTACTTCCTATCGTTCAGCTATGTAATAAAATGAGCCTGTCTGATTGTCCTTCAGCGCTGATACATATTTTTTTTAAATTTAACAGTATATGTGACATATTGGCTCATGAAAATGGATAGCACACAGGTGTAAGGTTTGCTTTGACTTGTTTTCAGGAACGTGCTAGAGTTTTAAGATGTATCTGTATTTTTTTCCCAAAACTGGGTAAATTACCTTGTGTAGGGAGAATTGCCATTGATTCAAGGGGCATAGCAATTGTAGAGTGAATAGCTGGATGCCGCCTTTGTTGGTTAGTATGAAGCCATTGATGTTATTCTGGTTATGTACTTTGCAATCAAACCAGAGACAGACGATGCTGTTTGTAAGTCACATACCTGTAACTTTGTGTGGGGGTTTGTGTGTGCAAGAAACTGTTATTGCCTGGATACACGTGTGTGTACGCATGTGTGTGTGTGTGTGTGTGTGTGTGTGCAAAGGTTTCACACTAATTCATTCTTCATCCTTCATCTTCTTTACCTGAGGGACAGCAGATGAGTTTTGAATGCTTTCAGGGTTTGTTTCCCTCATCTCTAGCTGATGACTACCATCCAATCACGACATTGACCCAGGTGTTATTCTCCAATTACAAGCCTGTAACCAAACTCATCTTTTCATACCACCGCAGGGCCCACAGTTCCATGCAGGAGTCCGCGTGGATTTGAAGTTATGTATTACATATTGTGCATCAAATAGACATGTTATAGGCTTGTAATGTTGAAAATTGTATCTTTTTTTAAGTCATGGTGCTGCAGCTGTAAAAATGCTCCAATTCTAGTTGTTCTACTTGGTGGAAAAACTGCATCCTGTTATATCATAATATTATAATATGGATTTTGTTTAATAAGGCGTTCCTAAAAGTCTATTTCAGATAGCGTTGTGCTGATGCGAGCCATTTTGTGTATCCATTTTCCTAACTAATCACAAAGTTTCCTGATTTGCAGCCTTTCTATACAGAACTTATAGATGAAGTGAACTGAGCCAGAAATTATCACACAATTATAGAAAAAAAAGCACCATACAGACCTTTGGAAAGCACGAGCCATTGAAACAGAATAAGCACAACCATGTGTGATATAGCGGCTTTATTTAATTTATGCTTGTTAAGTATATACATGCAGGGCCTTTTTGTTTGACTGGAAAATGATGAATTACCTTGGGTCCTGTCACCGAGCCATCTTTTTTAATGACCTTGTATTTTCGTAGATCATATTTTAGGAAAGTATAGAGGATATGATAGCTGGCAGCCAGAGGTAAGACTATACGTTTCCACTAGCTATGTCTTGAGTTTATAAAATAAATAGTCCAGATTTTTTCATATTATGGTGAAATTGGAGCAGTAAAGCTTTCACAGTCTGGGCAGGAAAGGTTGTTTGTGTGGGTGCGCAAGGAAAGAGGTAGAAAGAGAGTGGAAGCAGGAGAGTCAATGTAAAGGACAGTAAGTAGAAAGGGTTCAATAGTCTCTCTGCTCGCTATACTTTTCTTTTCATATTGACTTTTCTTTAACCTCCCTTCCTCTGTTCTCTGCTTGGCTAATCAAATTTTTCCCACTAATATGCACTTTGTATCCAATCATAGTGCTCTGCTGTGCAATGTGCAACCTTTTCCTCTAAATTCCAATCAAGCTCTCCATCACCAAGTTAAAGCTAAGTCAGTAGTAATCTTACATCTCTGTGTTCTGCATTGATGGTGTAACTGAATGTGACCCTAAAAGCATTTTAGGCTCAAGGTCATCTGGCCTTTAGTTGCCTTCCTGCATCCATAAGAGTCAGACGGTCTCTAATATGTGCCAGTGTGGTGTGAGACAAATGTATTCAGTCCTCCCAGGTACTCTTCAGTTGACAATGATAGGACAGTTAGAAGGCAGGAGTGCTGTCTTTATCCCTCCTTTCCTCTTTTTTGATCATCTGAGTGTAAGAATCTTAGGGATTACTGGAAAATCCTTTACAGTTTTGAATATCTTGGGCAAAAATGACTTATGATTATTTCTTTGTGATGACACACAATTACCCTAGCAGCTACAGCTTAATTAAATTAAAATAAACCTTTGTTTCTTTGTATGTGAAAGCCTGGAGAAGCTAATCGTTGTTCTTGAACAGGCTGCTGGTCATGATGATTCGCGCCGACATGTTGTATGTCTTGTTACAGCATTGATTCTTTTATCGAGCTACCTGAAATTCCTTCGGCTTACTTTCCAAACATGTTGAATAAATAAAGAAGCCCTAAACGTTCAATCGCAGGCAGAGATTTGGAGCACTTTTTAGAATTTTGGTAACATCTCCATCTCTCACTCGCCTGCCTTCTAAAGTCAAGCTGGTGTGACTAAAATACTTCACACATACTTCGTCACAGTGCACTTTGGCTGCAGTGCTTTTGAGATTCGGGCCTGGCTAACAGGCTTAGGCTCCTCTGTCTCTCTCACGTCAGTATTTCTCCTTCTTTTTACCTAAACGTAACATTATGGCACTGTGGATCCAAGCAATCAGAAAGCACCATGGCCAACGTTTACTATTTGTGTTCTGTGGCGTATGTAGTATATGTTTTACTTAGTTGAATGCACAAATGCTTTAAAAATTTCCAGAGGAACAGAAGTGAAAATATAAGATGATGTAACAACATACGCATTAAAAACGTACTCACAAACACATTTTGGGATTTTGGTCAAATGAATGATGGGAATCACCCGGGGGGGAAACATGCACAATATTTTTGCACTTTTACCACACTGTGATGCATTTTGGAGTCAAATCAGATCTATTCACACTGGTTACAGCAAAGTTCCCAATGTCATAGATAATACTTTACTTTCTCTTGCAGCTCCTCCTTCCTCCTTTTCACACTGTGCCACAGATACACTTGATAAGAGTCTGTTCACTTTGTGATAGGCTTGTTACTGCTGTTGCAGAGAGAAGTTGTATATCTTGTCTTGCACATTTTATATGGTCATTTAACTGGTGAGCACAAAGCAAATTTATTAAGTGAAAACGGTCATGTCCGAGAAAATGTTTTGCTTAAAAAAAACTGTCGTCTTTAGTGTTTTGTTTGACTGTTTTATTTAATGTCTAATTAGTTTATAGGCTATCTGGTTGTCTGCTGTGATGCTGTCTCAAACAGATGTGAATATACTATCCAGAGATTCAAGCATTAAGGCAGTGTGAGAGTGAGTATGTGTATTAGTTTGAGTGTAATGAGCACTGCAGTCATTAGCTGGGACGGGGAAGGGGTGTGGGCTGCAGGATGGCACAGATGGTGGTGGAATGAGACCCGGACTCACTGCAGATTTATGCTTCTCTCTCAGGTGTCTGTCTGTGTGTCTCTGCTTGCTCACTCTCATTTCTCATTTCAAAGTCAGACACTGTGTGCCAAATGCGTAAGATGAGGGGAGCCATCTCTTTCCACATCGAGTCTCTCTGGGGCTCCTCACAAACATTTTGTCATCAAAATAAATTCTGCTGCCCTTTGTACTGTACGTGCATTTGTGTCGTTTTTGTAGGCATACATTTGCACGATTTCCATTAATCAACGAGAATAATTCAGCTCTTTTTGAATAGCAACAGCTTATCAAGAGCATATGTTCTAACTGTGAAGATTTGGAAAAATAAATGCTCATTTTATATTTGATCTCAGACACATATTAAAAAAAAAAATGATGGGCTCCTGTTTACCACCGTGTTGCATCACCTCTTCTTTTAACAACACGATAAGCGATCGGGAACTGCCATAGTTTGGAAATCAAAATATTTTCCCGTTCTCGCTTGGTGTGCGATTTCATCTGCTTGTAAGTTTGAGAGCTAATTTGTTGTATTTTTCCATATTGCGCCAAATCTTTTTATCTGGTGACACAACTGAACTGCAAGGCAAACCAATGCTGTTGTAATAAAGCTAGAATCTGGTTTATCATTGTCTTCCTGACATGTCATCACATCAGTGCCATCTGGATGGCAGCATAAATTGCTTCAAAAACCTGTTCAGCATTAATGGTGCCCTCAAAAATGTATTAAATGAGCTTGGCCAAAGAAAAGTTGGTGGCTTTTTTGGCTCTTCTCTTTATATTATTTATATATAAATACCTTTTATGATCCATCTATCTTCTGTCACGGGGAGAAGCAGCCAAAGCAGAGGCACACAGATCTCCATCCCTCCTGCTATCTTCACCAGCTGTTCATGGATTGAAGAGGTTGGACACTAAGTCGTTCACAAGCCAGCTGAGAGATTTAATCTCTCCAGTGTGTCCTTGATCTGCCCCAGGGACTGCTCGATAGCACACATCAGGAAAAGCAAATTTAGGAGGTGCTCAGGAGGCATCCTAGTTACATTCTCAAGCCACGTCAAGTGACTCTCTTCAATGTGTCAGAGTAGCAGTTCTACTCTGAGCCTCTCCCAAACAACTGAACTCATCATCCTATCTTTGAGAGAGAACCCAGATACCCAACTGAGGAAGCCACTTTTGCCGCTTGTATCCGCACTGTATCCCACCTGGTACAGAATGCGAGGCGACAAAAATGCTGCTCGTTTCTACTTCACGGTATTTTGCTTTAATATTTTCTGTCTTCTTTGTCTTTGCTCAGATCGCACTGGGAAGCGCTCCATCATGCCCGACTCACCTGCGGACGTCAAGACACAGTCCAGGTTGACCCCCCCTACCATGCCACCCCCACCCAGTACACAAGGAGCACCCCGTAACAGCTCCTACACACCAACTACATGTGAGTAAGCAAAGAGGACGTGTTTATTGCTGATGGAGACGTCCAGCGATATAAGAAAACCTACTTTTATTGCAGACCGTGACCATGCTGCAAATATGGTCCAGTGTTACAGTGAGAGAAATAATGTGACTACTTTTGCTATTAATGGCCAACCAGCAACAGCCTGCTGATGAGTAGGAAGGAGGTCAGAAAATTACCTTCCTATAAATGTTCCCAGCATTGCTCAAAGATCACAAAGAAAAAAACAAAGCAAATAATCTTAACACAGTTAATATTTTACACTAATGTCACAGCTCAGTCATGTCCCGGCTGGGTGTATGGTTAGAGGTATAACAATCATATAAAAATTGCACTCTAAAAATGGTGATTGACAGTAGATTTGCAGAAGCTCATACATATCAACGCAGTTCCAGCATGCGAGTTATCATGGTGGACGTGTGGGACTCGTGAGACCCTCTTATCAAGTTGCATTGAGCCTTTTCAATTCTTTCCCAACAAGTTCATTAACACCCATGCTTACAAACTGTTGGAGCAATGCCATGACACGCACATAGCTTGTGACGAGCAAATTACACCCTAGTATTCACTCAGAAGAGCATACTTAACCACTTGCATGAAGAGCACTAGAATCAAAGAATCAGAGGCCCTGTGTGCTCAGAGCACTTGAGTCTGCATTGGTACTGCTGGTACTTTGCAACGGCTGAATTATTTTGTTCATTTTTAATCACATACCCCTTTTTTCATTTATGTTATTTACTTTCTCTCTCTCCCTTTGCATCTGTCTGTCTGTTTCGCTCTCTCTCTCTGCTGCAAACGCTCACACACCACAATTAACATTGGGGCTTCCGTGCAATGAGGGAGGAAAGGCCCAACTCTCTCATTACACATGCCAAAGGTTTTAACAAAGCGGTATGCTTTGATTTCCATCCGACGTAATTGTTACCAGATGCAGTTTGAGCATCTCGTCTCTCTCCTCTCTTTACAGTGGTGGGTTTGGACGGCGGCCAGAGGGGGAGTGAGTGGATCGCTAGTCACAACCTAATCTCATTAGAGAGAGAGCTTTATGCTGCCTTGTATCTCTTTGTACAGCAACTCCCCCAACACACACACAGACACGTATAGCTTCCGCGCTGTGGAGCACAGGGGGGGGTCTCACTGTCACCGGCATTTTTAGAGCTTCGGGAAGAACAGAAAAGGGAGACGGAGGTAGAGAGAGGCAACGTGTCTCCAAATACAGAAATATGTTTTTATGGGAGGATGCCGTGAAGGTTCAAAGGAGGCGCACTAATTGGAAACAAATGCGGACGCTTGCGGATGATTTTAGGGGAATGCGCATCGTTTGAAATCACTGGAAATCACAAAGCTGTTGTTTCCTCCATGATTTGTACGTAGCGGGAGGAAATCCAGTGTTACTTTAACAGTAATGTGATTTTATCAGAAATAAAATTTACAAAAATAATAAGAAATGACGTCAAGAAAATGCAATTAGCAAATGCCGTGCTTTCCTGTCTGCTGCTCACATTATTTTCTATGTCCTTATCTCACACAGTAACCAACGGCAGTAGCCACTCCCCAACGGCGCTCAACGGCGCTCCATCTCCTCCAAATGGTTACAGCAATGGTCCTAGCTCATCCTCCTCATCGTCTCTGGCCAACCAACAGCTGCCTCCAGCCTGTGGTGCCCGACAGCTCAGCAAGCTCAAGCGCTTCCTCACTACTCTACAGCAGTTTGGGAACGACATCTCACCTGAAATTGGCGAAAGAGTCCGCACGTTGGTGCTGGGATTAGTGGTAAGAACCTTTGGTGTCTGTGAGCTGGAACAGTGTTCTTAGAGAGGAAGTAACTGCTTGGTGCTGTTAAAATGTGTTAATATGTGTAAATACAGTATTGTGCGACAATCTTGAGTGAATCTTTATTTCCTTATATTTTGATTCCAAGAAGTCAGACTTTCTTGTAATTTTTTAAAGTGGTCCTTCAATCAAACATAAACAACTTAGTGAAGAACACATTTTAAATTATATCTTTAGGCACTTTGTTACTAGCATCCTTTCAAGAAAATCTTGAATCTCTGATGCCAATGATAACACAGTTTGACAGGTTTAAATAGCATGTTTTCACCAACAAGATGACTCTCAGAGGCATATTAGTGTATCTTGGAAGATTTTGAACAAGTAAAAGAACAAAAGAAGAAGTGGCAGGCCTTAAAAAAAATATCTCCAGCAGATGAGCGTTGGCTCAAAACCTTTGTAGAGTTTTTGCCTTCAAAACTGATATCGATCGGTAACGTTAAAACTCATTCTTGAGGATCACACAATGCCTGGCAAACAGAGAAAATACAGCAGTGACATGAGGCTGGCAGCATCCATCTTTATACAGCTGATCGACAATGAATTTAACTACACTGCTGTGATTTCAACTGAAATGTAACAACGTGGAAATGATGGCGATATGGATTAGACTTCCCATTCCAGCATCAAACTAATGTTGTCACTAAGGGTGTGCAGGTGTCTGACAACCTAACGTAACTCACCCAGTTGCATATTAAAACTGTTATTTATGTAGCTAATGAATAGATGTAATTGCAATCAAGTGATGACTGTGGCTTTAAGAGGATGCTCAAATTAAAGCATTACTGCTAATCACACTTCTAACCCTAATTAAGATCCAGCAAATAGAGGGAATAAAACAGCATTTGATATTCAACATGTAAATCAGAATTTGTCTGAGTTCGTCAATTATGAGAAAAATGTAGGAAAAGATTGAAAAATATGAAGGTTTTAAGTACAGCACATTCTTTACTGGAAATTCACATTGGTACCACGAATGTTAATATTGGCATTTCTGCAAAATATACATCGAGTACATTTGATAAGACAGATGTGTTTCCCAGTTTAGTTGACACAGTTATGCTAAGGATATATCAGGGAAAGGATTTGGTGTAAAATACAATGTGCAAATCTGGAGATTTACCACACGTCTTTGTGATCTGAGAAATTTTGAGCTTAATGAGCAGGGGAATACAGAAATAATGATTGAATGTTGTGCAGAAAAGAGGAGGAGGCGGAGGAGAAGGAGGGAGGAATTTTTTTAATTAGCCACATAGAGCATAACCTCCTTTTGGCTTCACTATGTTTATTTTTCTCACCGTCTGCATACGCACATGCCTCTCCTGTGTCCTTTTGGTTTGCATACCTCCCCGCCATACACCCCCCCCCCCCCCCCCCCAAGACTTCCCTCCCGCTCACTGTCTCTCTGTCCCTCCCCCTGCCTCGCTGAAAAGAGTGACACCGTTAATTAGCTGGTTGTGTGCTTGGGAGAGGGAGAGAGGGAGACTCGGGAGGTTTCACTAGCTGTCAAGAACAGCCCCTACGCAATCTGGGCGAACAGATGTAAGACTGAATGTAACAAAATTCAGGTCTGGGAAATAACGCTGAGAGTGTTGGGAGGAAAAATAATATCTGCAGCTTTTTTTTATGTTCTCTGTGTTGCTTGATTTTTCTCCCCCCCCCCCATTTATTTTTTGGGGGTTTTTTTTATTGAAGATTCCTCTGCCATGTGCAAGCACACCTTTTTCCATCTCTGCTTTTTTTTTAACCTCTCGCTTTGTATTCTGGGAATACCTCATGCTGAAAATTAAAAATAGTGACACTGTCTTGTCAGACACTGATGTAGTTTTCAGCAACTAGTCTTTATTTGGCTGCTAAAGTTGACAAGTTGCAATGCGTAACCCACTTTTTGACCGACCCCCCCACTGCTTCAGACACTTAAACCATCTCCACATTTGCACTATTACAGGAAAAAAAAAGCACACATGCTCAATAAAAGTGCACACACATGCACACACTGTGTTTTTCTTCACAATCTCCTGCTGCTGAAATGTATTTTGGTTATTCTGCTCTGTGATCAGTAAAAAAAAAAAGAGAGAGAGTTGTACATAAATGATAAAACATTGATCCAGAAAAGAATGCTTGCCATGCACACATGTACAACAGAAAAGTTGTGTGAATACCTCATGATTAGTTTGATTAGCATAAATTATTAAATGCAGTGCATTATTATCCATGTCCCCGATGTCTTCCAGATATAGAAAATCCTCATTGTGTTTCAGCTTCTGATTATAATTCACGAGCAGACATGTGGTAATGTGAAAATAGAGTGGAAAGCCACAAGCAACTATACTTAAATGATTAAATAAATACAGAGATAACTGTTTTTAAATGAGCCTGTATCTCACGTATGATAAACTCCATCAGCGTTCGTACAAAAGCCTTTTTAATCAGACACATTTGTCCTTCGTGCAGGATGTGTTTGGATGATGTGACTCCTGTATGTGCGTTTGTTTCTGATGGAAGGAGATGTGTGCCTTTGTTTTCTGTGGCTCTTTTTCGCTGTGGCCTGCCCATGTGCTTCCTATTACAAAACCCAAAATGCTCAGTCCAGGCCAGGATATAGCTTAGCTTCCAATAAGTAATATTATCACTTAATGCCTTCCACATGGATTCATGTGTTTGTTTTTTGTGTCTCTCTCTTCTCCAGAATTCCACTCTGACCATCGAAGAATTTCACTCCAAGCTGCAAGAAGCCACCAACTTCCCTCTGCGACCTTTTGTCATACCCTTTCTGAAGGTAGAGGCATTTCAGTACACGTTTACAACAAGAAGGTTGCCCGCCTGTTTGTTTGATCAATGAAATCTGGAAAGCATTTAGCCGGCACAGATTCCAGATGTGCATACTTATGTTCACGATATTTATCCCTGTTGTTGCTCTTTTTTTTCTTTTCTTTCTTTTTTGAGTCTCTCTTCTTTTTTGCACTTTTATCCCGTCTTTCATCCATCCCTCACTTGTTTATTTCTTGCTTCTTACTCACTTTCTCTGCTGTTGACGAGAAGCTTTCAGGGTTTTCTTCTTTTCTTTTGCTCAGTCTGTCTATATAGTGCAAAACGCTGACACAAGGCAGAATTTTTTCTTATAAGAGTGTTTGGATGGAAAGAATTTGTTGTTTTTTAAAAATAAACACAGTGAATATACTGAAACAGAATGACTGTGGTTTTATCCCCAAGGACAACGTATCTGTTTATGTCCTCCTTATCTTCATATTGGTCTTTGGCTTGTTTTTGTCATTATTTCCCTTATTCCCACTAAGCTGCATTTCAACCATTAACATGGTATGTTACTAGAGGAAAGAACACTTTCTTAAGCATCTGTGCCCTTCCCTCAGTCACAACAGCATATCTCTCATATCTATCACACTGTGGAAGATAAAAGTGAAGGAGATGAAATTATTTCTATTTGTATCCACAAAGGGAATAATGTTTATTTAATGTGTGGTTTGTGTGAGATAGGTGCATGTAGTGCTTTTTGGTGCATATTCTGAAGGCTAAACTAGGGGCTGAGACTGGGGACAGTAGCGTGATTTGTTATGATAGTCACGGATGACAAATGAGACTGAGGTTTATACTGAGCAGCAGAAGGTTAGACCATGAAATGGGTCCAGGTGAAGTGGAGATCAATATCAGTGAGCTACTGAAAGATGGAGAGCAGCGACGGGCGTAATATTTAACGCATCACTCATTTTTTGTTCTTTTGCACACCTCTGTAAAGGTAAAAAGCTCCATTTTTTTCCTGTTTTCTTCTCCAGTCTTCTTCTTGATTTGCATCAGTCTTTCTTCACTTTTTATGGACTCTCTGCTATTTGTAACTGAGCAATCTGGGAACCCATCCGCTATTGTCTCATGACTAATCTCTGGGGACAATGGTGAATATTTCAGTGCTTCCAATGTAGCCAGCGGATATCCGGATCAAAACTTCCCGTCTGGGCATTGTTTATGAATGCAAATCAGGTTTTTCTATTCAGTTTTTTTTTTAAAAAGCAAATAAAAAACTAAATCATCATCAGACCATAGGTTGCAGTACCAAAAATCTGGAAATTTCTCTACAGATTCTGCCTTATAAAGGTTAGAATTATCTAAAAAAAGAAAAAAAACTTGAATTAATAGAGATTCTGAGTGACAGATGGGTAAATGTTACTTTTGAAAACACAGGCGGCATCTTTTCCCAACACAATATCCTCTCACTTTACATGGTGCACTCACATCTGCATTTGCAGATGTGTGCATGTGTCAACTGACATTCACAAGTTTATGTTATCCACCAAGGGTCAGCGTGGTTATGGGCAGCAGAAATTGGTCCCACTAGAACTGCCATTACTCTTTGTTAACGATACAAACAGGAGCTTTGTATCCACCCCCTCTCTTTCCTACATCACTCCCTTGCCCTTAAGTTTTCTTCATTTTCTTTCGCTTCTTGTGAAAGATTTTTTTTCTCCCTCTGCCTCCTTCTGTCCTTATCCCTTTCGTTTCTCTGTTTATCTACTGTTCTCTATCCATCTATCCTCCAGTCCCTCCTTCCCTTTTCCTCTCCTCGCCAGATGGTTATTGTATCACTGGGATGGCTGCGGAATCAAAGATGCAACTCTCTTTTTTTTTTTCCTCCATCGCTCCTTCTCAGCCCCTCTCTTTCTCCCCAGTCTAATTTTAGTGTCTTCCCACTGCGGGGCCTTTAATGCCAGCTACCATATGGTAGCAGAGAGCAACTGGAGGTGTGGGGGAGCTTTTATAGGTGCGTCGAAGCACAGCTGCAACAATGCATGTCAGGGCTCAAGGTTTTTCATTACGCTAATGTTATACCGAGTCAATCCCACCAACTACCCACCCCCTCTCGAATTCACTCAACTCTTTTTTCCTTTTCTCTTAATGCTAAACCGCAAATTGGTTGGGATTCTTTACTGGAAGGAGGCAATCATAAACCACACAATGGCTGTGACGTGATGTGCTGGCGAGATGCGGGCCACACGATTCTTAAAAGATATGAATGCGTCTCAGCCTTCCACTTAAAGTTGTGCCATTTTTTAAAGTGCGCTCTTTGTTCTTTTAGTTTTTCTTGCGTCAGATTCAAGTGTGAGTAGTGCTGCGAGACGGGGGAATAAACACATACAGCTGTGTGTGTGTGTGTGTGTGTGTGTGTGTGTGTGTGTGTGAGAGCGAAGGAGAAGGAGAGAGTCTGTTGCGATAGGAAATAATTGAAATAGGGCAAAATAGACATGCAAAAAACTAAGTCACCTTTCTCTTCCAACTGCAAATTATACAGAGAGAACAGAAAGTTGATGAAGTGCAGCACATCCTAAATGTGGCATATTCTGAATTGTTTTTTGGCACCGTTTGACAAAATGACAAAAGCAGTATTTGAACAATAAATCACCCCAAGTAGAATTTAGCTGTGGCTGCTGAACATTACTTGAAATGTGCCTTTTTTCCCCCCCTTTTTTTGGTACAAGTGCAGATGTTGGTTAACATAAGTATGCGGAAGCAAATCGCCGCACTTTATCATATGAAAAATGATCCAGTCTCTTCAGTGGTCTGCATTTCTTGACTCAGTCTTTTTGTTAATGTATCCCACATCTCCTCTGGCAATTAGGATGACCTCTAATTAATATAAGATGAGTTCACCAGGGTCAAAGCAATTTATTTTATGCTCTCTCTCTTTTTTTTTTCCTTTTTCCAGAGGGTAATTATGATCATAAACTATTAACGGACCATTAACTCGGGCAGGTAAAGCGAAGGCCAGCGGCTGGCATTTCTCTTACTGCAGCCAATTACTAGAGAGAGATTTTCATGTGATTACAACATTAATACTACTAAACAAAACATGGCCCAGTTCAGGTAGTGTTACTTCTGTGTGCAGCTGCAGGAAACAGAAGAACAAAGGAGTGAAGACTGTGAGGAAGATTACAACAAAAAAAAACAAAAAGGAAAGGAACCACAAAAGAAGCAGGAGACTTGCGAGAGAGATTATGATAGTGAGGACAAAGCAAAGATTAACGGACCTAAAACTTGCAAAGATGGCCTCTCCAAAGGCTCTTGTGATGTGCCTCGCCAAAATAGCCCCCACTCTCATTCTAAGCCTGCTTGACGCAACACTTTCATCTTCTTGCCTCATAATGCACGCCATCAGATGTCTTTGAAGTCGATGTTCGCATACCTGCATGGCCCCGTAACTCCACACAAGAAAGTAGACCCCCTTGTTACAGTATGCCAAAGAGTTTGAAAATAGCTGCTGTGTTTTTTCAAATTTTATGCCACAGAGAGACTTTACGGCCGCTAATGCACTCTGGGTCTCAGAAAGCTGCGGTGGTTCAGGAATAATGAGCAAAGAGGGGTGAGATTGTATGGGAGAAATGGATCTCTTCTTACAATAAAGTGGTATTTGGAATAAAAATCTTATAAGACATTGGCTTTTATGTGTGATTCAGTTCTTTGTGTGGGATGGTATAACATGTCGGGTGGTAGGACTGTGTGTTGTCTACATTTCCTGAGCATTAATATGATTACATTTACCTTTGTTACAACGTAAAGCACTCAGAGCAGAGCATAGTGTTTCTGTAAGTCATAAGTGCCACTTTTATTACTTTTAGTACATTTTTATCACTTTTTGCACCTCCAAAGTTTCAATATTGTGTTTCAGAGATAAGAAGTTTTAGTAAACAGTAACCAGCTCACAGTCTGAATGATTGTTCACCAAAGGAGACTTACCTGAAAATGTCTTTATAAATGTTGTGAGGCTGAAAGGCACGCATTCCTCACATTCTTGTACCTCCTTTGAGCTCTCAGGAAACAGTCATCAGCATTCTTGTGAATTTCCCGTAATAATCAAGTGTTGTTTCCTCCCGCAGGCCAACCTGCCGCTCCTTCAGAGGGAGCTGCTGCACTGTGCCAGGCTGGCCAAGCAGAACCCGGCTCAGTACCTGGCCCAGCATGAGCAGCTACTCCTGGACACCAGCACCACCTCCCCAGTAGACTCCTCAGAGCTCTTGCTGGATGTGAATGAGAACGGCAAAAGGAGGACACCAGACAGGTGGGTGACTCATAAAACCAGAACATCACTCTCAAATATTACTATTTCATCATTTTAAGTGTTTAATAAATCTTGATTTGGGTTGGAATTCTTAGAGGATAGCTGGAATTTGTGGGTAGAGCTTATACATTTACCAGCTCCTGGGATGAAACTTTTTTTTACCCTCTATTGTTTGAGCTCATGCATAAATCCCTTTGAGGATGCCTGCATCCCCATGCGCCCCTGCATTACTCCACAGACACAAGCTGAGCTAACGCAAGGCAATAGTGTCATGTGCAAATGTATGTACGGGAAGCGTCTGCCAGTGCGCCACCGGGTCTCATGATGTGCTCCGTTGGACAGCTCAGCTCCTGGCTTCTGCTCTTAATGGGCCAGAACTGAGGAGAACATGAGATGGGAAAAGTAGACCTGGCTACACCCAGGCACACATACGCAGGGAAAAAAGACGGAAGACAGCTGTGCCGTAATGAAAAGCATGAATAGATGTGTCACTGAATGTGTATGAAGCCCTCCGATTTGTGTGTTTTTGATTCCAAACTTATAAAGTTATTTCCACGCTTGCTCGGGTGTGTAAGTACAAAGTGTGTGCCTGTGTTTGTACGAGTCTCCACATCACTTCAACTCCCCCCACCCCAGCCAAATCATTACATCCGTTTGCTGTCACGGACTTTGGTAATGACTCAATGTTCCTTGCTCTAATGGACAAGCACTGAGACGTTCCATCCAGAAACACACAGCGCCGTAAAAAAAGGGGGAAAAAAGCTATCTTCCACTCTGTCTGGCACAGAAAAAATCTATCCAGACCAATGGTGTGTGTAAGTGCATGTTCAAGAATGTAGCTCATTTGCTGCCCCAGTAAAACAAATTTGAGGTGATAGAGCTGCGATATGAACAAACCATAAGATCAGACTATAAATCTAGAGTTTGGCTTTACACTCTTCTCTAATCAGAATAACAGAGGCTAACAAGCCTGCAGCAAAGTCTATTAGACATGCACAGACCCATACAGAACTGGGTTTTTTTTGCACTGGAGTTTGTGAACATATATCTGATGTGGGAGCTGCAGACTACAATGTATGTATTGTTTTGTGAAATAAAATCCCCGGGGGTCAGAATTTTTAATACAGGCAGGGGAGACGGAAATGTACATTTTATATTTGCTGAGGGACAAAAATGCTGAATGTGATATTAATAATTCTCACCTCTCTTTTCCCCAAACACTCGGCTATGCAGACTTTTTCTGTAATACCTGCACATTTGCAGGGCGTCTGGTGCATAGGGGAGTGAGCTTAGTAGAAAAGGTGCGCGTATAAATGTGAGAGGGAATATGCGGAAGGTGGGGGGGGGGAGTAGGCATCTGTATTCAGTGTGAAAATGCAGTCTTTGTGTGAATGTGTGTGTCTGTGTTTGTGCACGATTCTGGATCCAGTGTGAACGTGTGAGCGTGCTTTGTGTGTACGTGCGTGTGGTGTATGTGTGTGTGTGTGTGTGTCTCTGCGTGAGCGTGTGTGTGCCTAGGGAGATGGGCTGATAACACATACAGATGAGGCTCCAGCACCAATATGGCTGGCTAAGCACCTCTGGTTTCTGCTTACCCTGCTCTGCACTTATTGGAGCCTGTGTCAGAATATTGGAATTTGAATGAGAATTCTTAATTACAGACAACAATGCACTATCAATGCATTCTGATTAATACCATCGCCTGCAGAAAACAGACCAGGAAAATTAGAGTATAGCCTTAGATACTGTGTATGCTCAAAAAGCCAGTATTTAAATATCGTCTGAGAGTACAGTATTACTGATGATCGTACTCTAATAGCAATGCCTCTGTGCACATTACATTTTAGTGCATTTCCAGAATATTAATTCCATCTGTGGCATACAGCATAATCATACACAACAGGCTATTTCTTCCTTCCAAAAGAAATCTAGTCAGTAAATAATATTCCTGCATTGTTTCATATTTAAAGTTAAATAAACATATTAAAAATATAAATTGGTGCCTTTTAATCGCATCACCGTAAAGAAAATTTTAACTGTATTCAAAAATAAGCGCGCAAATTACCACGTGTGTATCGTTTAACAGGGCGTGCACACCGGGGTATTGCACAGGTGACTGTAAATGTGTTCACAGGCGTATACTTTAGTGCCTGTAGATATAAATATTGTTGCAGTAGCAAGGCTGGGCAGAAAAGAGTGGGGGGTGGAGGTGGATGGATGAGTCGAGGGAGACGGAGAGATGGACGGATGCAAGGGAAAGAGCATATGGAGAGCTGTGGATGAGCATTAGGAGCCCATAAAAACAGCTCATTAAGAAGTTCAATCTGTTCATCGGAGAGAGAGAGAGAGGGAGGTGGGAACGGAGAGGAGAGAGGCAGACAGAGAGAGAGAGAGAGAGGAAACTGGTGGACTGCAGATAGCGGGGGAGGTTGGCAAGTTGTAACTGTGAAGTGACAAAAGTGAGAACACACACACAAAGGCATACAGAGCACACGTGTGAGAGCGTGCTCACACAATAACACACCTGGCCACATTAATCTTTGGAAGCAGGCTAACAAAAATCCACCTGATCCCCTGAAAACTACTTGTGTGAGTATGTATGCAAGCATGCGAGCACACACATTCAGGCTTATTTGTGTGTGTGTGTGTCTGTGAATAGACATGTTTTCAATAAAAAAATTCCAAAAGGAATCCAGGAAAAGTAGCCTTTCATTGCAAGTGCTTTGTCTGGTAGGTTGGACTCAAATATTTCCAACAGCACAAGGGGGCGGACCAGTTGTTGTACTGATATGCTTCAGGTCTGGCTCTTGTATGAAATAACTGTAACAAACACATTTTGTATCACTTATTTTTACAAAATAGGTGTGATGTAAATATCACACTGATTTGTTCCTGTGTCGTCCGCTCTCCTCTCTTTTATTTCCTTTTTTCCCAATCCAATGCACCTCAGGAAGCCTTTTGTTATCTGCAGAGCTGTCACTAGAAATTGTTCGAGCTTGGTAATAACGGCAAAGATTTATGCCAGCTTTGGCCCTGTATTCTGTCTAAAATATTAAAACAAGTGAAAAATGCTGCCGGTACTTAAAAAAAGAAAGAAACTAAGAAAAAAATTACGACCTTATTAAATAAGGAAATTATCCCACGTCACTGTTTGAAAGAGTCTAAGCAACAACGACAGCCACATTACTCATTTGTCTGCGTCTCCACTCAGAACCAAAGAGAACGGCTTTGAACGAGACAGCGCTCTGCATCCGGACGTTCACCCCAGCAAACGGCCCTGCACTATAAGTCCTGCCCAGCGTTTCAGCCCATCCAATGGACTCTCCTACCAACCCAATGGTCTGCCTCACCCAGGCCCACTCCCTCCACAGCACTACAGGCTAGACGACATGGCCATTGCCCATCACTACCGTGACACCTACAGACACCCGGCGTCTAATCATCGAGAGATCCGGGAGAGAGCAAGGCCCATTGGTGAGGATACTGAGGATTACATTTGTGTACACGACTGTATATCTCAGAGCACAAGATCACTTTACATACATTTCACCGGTTTCTCATATCTTTATAGTCCACTGAGATGAATAACTATTAAAATAATCAATCAGATTATCATTATAATCAGTGAGACTCAGAAGCCACAGACGTCATAAAAAGTGAGATACATTAACACTCCGCAGACGCACATTTAGATGTGAGATCATCATATTAGATCCTTTTTTCTTTTTGCATAAAGCTGGCCTTGATGAAGCTGTGATAATGACTTGGGCTCTATTTTAAAAATAGGAGACACATTTAGCATGTCTCACCTTGTGATGGATGTTTACTGGAGGAGAAACTCAGTCATCTGAGTCCTGCCCTCGGGGTGGGAGAGCGATATGGAGATAGCAGAGAAAAGGGAAAGTGTGGGAGCAGGGAAAAGAAATGAATAGAGAAAGAGTGCCAAACTGAATTCAAATGAAAAGGGGAGCAAGGGCTTGATGGAGTAATTGATTGTGTCATGCTGAGTTGCTGTTTGTTTATCTGTCCATCTATTTGTCTATCTTTCATTCTTGCAGGTATGCATGCAGGCACCAGGCAGGAGGAAGTGATTGACCACAGGCTGACAGACAGAGAATGGGCTGAGGAGTGGAAGCACCTTGACCATGTAAGAAAAGTAATAACAATTTTATTACTATACTCTACAGTTTTGTCTTTGTAAGTTTTCTGAGTATCAGTTCGTATGAAATTGTTATCTAGCAGATCTTGTGGCGAGTCTTTATTAAAGTTTGGATGCTTTTAAGTTTCTTTATGAGCTCAGTCAAAACGATGTTTGAAATTACATGTATGTGAAGAACCCTACCATTGACAAAGACACCTTCTTTGAATTTAAATCAGCCCATTCATCCTGTCTATGTGTAAACTCAGCGCTGTGTCTGCTCCCTGTCACCTCCAGCTGCTCAACTGCATCATGGACATGGTGGAAAAAACAAGGCGCTCACTGACGGTACTGCGGCGGTGCCAGGAGGCTGACCGTGAGGAGCTCAACTACTGGATCCGACGATACAGCGATGCCGAGGAGCAGAAGAAAGGCGCTGTTAGCGGGCAGTCAAGGCAGCAGAGCCCTGCAGCACAAGAAAACACAACTTCAGGTATGGATTCACTTACATGCTAGAAGTATTATTGTTAAATTATAATTAATATGCATGTCTGCCGGTTTTAAGCTTGTTGTTCATCTTTTAAGACTACTGATTTTCAGTTTTTCGGTGTAATCTGTGCAACTTTAATTGTTCTTTAAAGGTATCTATATTAAATACAGACTCTAAAGGTGTCAGCTGATGTGCATTACCTTGCAGTCTGTTACTGTAGGTCTCTTAAAGCAAGGATTATACTCTGCAACCTTCTGAGAGGGTTTGTGCAGACCTCCATGTGCCTGCCTGTTTTTGTGACCACACAGACTTATCTGTGGAGAATTTATATGACAATATGCCAACTAGGCATGTGCCCAGCCAGGAGACTTCAAAGAAGTAAAACAGAAGTGACTGTTGGGTCTCCAGCTGTCCCTGTCTGCAATGGAATATATCCGAGGCTTAAGGCTCGGAAGTTTTTAAACCACTATTAAAGAAGCTCAAATCTAAAATGAGTTCAAAATTAATTATTATTAGCTGTAAGATCTTTGTTGTATTTTATGAATTAATAATATTGAGTGTGGAGTCCCCCAGAGTTCAAATCTAGGCCCCCTATTTTTACATTAAATATGTGTACACTGGCTGATAATAAGTCAGTTTCATTGCACTGGTCTCAAAAAGTCCTTTGGAACATAGAAAAAAAGCCAAAATGTTAAATATTTCACAGTTTTGTGTACTATGCCATTGATGGATCTCTGGCTACCATGTCTGTATGTTTGTGTCTTTCCAGAAATTCACCGGGAGCTCCTGCACCGGCCTGTCTCTGGCTACGTCCCTGAAGAGATCTGGAAAAAAGCTGGTGAGCAGCACTCCCATGCCTCTGATCAGTGCACGTAAACACAGTTCCTCTATTTTTCCCCTAATCTGTCTGAAGGCTTTATGCTTTATGGAACTCGAGGCCATGTTTAGGTAGATGAACGAGAAAGGCTCCTTTAAACCTGCTCTCTCCCCTTTTCATCCCAGTGTAGTCTATTGTCTGCAACACAAAACCTTGCTAGATTTGCATTAAAGTCAGGTTATCTATATCTGATTCTGTAGGAAGTTTCATCACTACACACTGCACACTCAGAATATGATGTCAGGCCTTACAAGGATTTTATTGCAGTCAAATAAGGGACATAAGGAGCTTTTACAGCTGGCCCAGTGGTCTCCTGTCAAAAGTGGCAAGATTTGGTTTCAATTTGCTTTTGGCACTTTTTTTATCCCCTTAATGAGAGACACTGCAGCTATCCTACTTAACAGTTTAGAAACTCCTTAATGTTTTAATAACCCGAGTAAAATCAGCACTTGCATTCATTTTTTATAGCTTATACAAACAGCATTGTGTCACTTTTATCACTCTGAAAACCTGAGGGTTCACTCTTTGAGGTTTTGTATTCTCCACCAGTGATACAGTATATCTGCGTTTTAAACCCCCTGGAGAAAAGAAATTGTCCCCTTGCTTGACCAAGCATGATGTGTGAGATACTCAGAACAAGTAATATGCATTTAAATTGAATTGAGTATCACCATCGGGACTCTGCCTCCTCTCCAGTACTCTCTTTCCCCTCACCAGCTTTGATCGATCTTCCATCTAAGGCATTTGGTGTGTAATCACAATTCCATGCACAAGGCATATATCACAAGGCACCGGGGCAATTTCCATGACTGCAAGCAGCATAGTAGGTTAAAGACAAAAGCACCCTGGTTTAAAAACTCGCCTCAATCACAGTGGAGAGAAAATGTTTCTGTCTTTATAAAAGCATGCAGTCGGTCTGATATCGAAAACAGATTTTACATTTTTAACGCCGGTGTAATATGTACTAAGAAAGTGAAGCATATTTGTCAGGCATAAAGCTGTATTTTATCTTTTGTCTGTCGGATAAAAGGGGCCTCTTACTTTTCACTCTATTTGCCTTATCCTCAGTATTTTCCGTTATCCATTTCATTCATATTCTGGCTTAGGAGAGACTGATTTAAATGTGACCCGGGGAGGATTGCAAAATAGGATTTTTAACACAATGGAGTGCAGCGGCGAATACATCTGTTTGAAATGGGCAAAATGTTTACAGTTGGTGATAAATATTCAAGCACCTTGCACGGTGTCCTACCGGTTTCCCACTTCCCCTCACCACATGGGCCTCTGGGATCACAATGGAAATGCATAATTTAAATATAAATTGCATGATTTGCATACACAATTAGTCAAGTTACAGGCTTGATGGGAGCAAACAAAAAAGCCCTCCTTTTGCTTTGACGTTCTGTAGGAATTCCACCGCTTAACACCCACGCGGAAGGTTATTCATTCCTCAAAACAAGGATAAAATAACATATTGCTCTGGCTGAAAAGCACGTTTTGTGAGTGATTACCTGCGATTAATCAGCTCGTGTTCTCGTGAGAATATCCTCGGGATATTCGTTTCCAAATTAAAATATATAAGATCAAGATCTTCCAGGAACATTGAACTTTACATTAATATGTCACACACTGATGTAAATATGCCTATTTAGACATTTAAAAGGTTCTTAAAAAGAAATTAATCAGTGTTTGAACGAAATCGTAATAGTTTAATTAAATCAGCTGACGAGTGTCCCCGTTATCCTGTCAGCCTACAACATTTAGACTTGATGTGCTCTTAAATCTTGTCAGATATTAAATAAATGATAAAATACTAATATTAAATATTCTAAGCTGAAAGTTGGCCTTGAAATATAAAATAAACATGAATAGTTAAAGTAGTTTTCTTTGCCGTGTGAAATAATCCATTGCAGATTTTTGTTTTCTAGTTTGCATCTTCTAGATGTGTTAAAACAGTGATGCAAGTTTAGACATAGTGTGCATTTAAAACATGCATGTTTGGACTGATGGAGTAATTGAATTCATCTGTAGTAGGAGAAATATATTTTTTTTGTTGTAATTTGTTGCTTGGTTTGATATTCCCATAAATAAATACAGACAGCAGGAGAGCTGAGTAGCGAAAACATTTGTGTGCAGTTGAGTTTAGCACGCGCTGCGGACCTAAACACACATCAAGACGAGCTCAGCCTGCAGCTCATTGAACGCGCTTTAGCTAGGAGAGAGCGCAAGAGAGGTTTTCTACCGAGATGTTTTGCAGACTCCCATTGGTTGTTAAAGTGGGAGTGAGTTGCAGTCTCTGCTGTTGCCACATTTTGAGATATTGCTGTGGAGTCAGCCCTTATGGGTCTCTTGCAGTTGCCTGTCTTGCTGCCTCAGAAGCTGAGCATCTGACTGAAAGCATAACAGGAAAAAAAAAGCTTCTAGCCAGAATATGAAAACTGCTCATCCACGCAACTTCAAACTCAGCACTGCTCTCTCCTGAAGTAGATGGGATGAACGACTGGAGAGCAGAACGAAAACCTGACAGAGACACAAACAAGCACAATGAGACTGTGAATATGCTAAAGGGTTGTTTAGAATGGCATATAGCAATTTGGAATCAGCAGCAGCGAGTATGTTATTCCTGTTTAAAAAGCGATGGTGTACTCGTACTGAAAATACAGTCCAGTGAAAATGCACGCGCTACATTGCAGGTACGGGAGGCTTGACTTCCTCTGTCTCCACACTCTTTCCAGAAGAGGCTGTGAATGAGGTGAAGCGGCAGGCCATGTCAGAGCTGCAGAAAGCCGTGTCAGAGGCCGAGCGCAAGGCTCACGAAATGATCAGCAGCGAGCGGGCCAAGATGGAGCGAACAGTGGCCGAAGCCAAGCGCCAGGCAGCCGAAGAGGCGCTCTCCATAATCAACCAGCAGGAGGATTCCAGCGAGGTAGAAGCGAATGTACACATTCTCAGTCTTTCATCATCAGTGTCATTATCGTCTTTTTGTGTCTGGCTTTTGATGCAAGCTGTGGTGGATTATACAGATGCTGTGGGTTTTTTATTACTATTTTAGAAAAAATATTACATAGTGCACATTTTTGTAAAACCTGATTATCCACCCCTTATGTGTTAGTGCATATGGAAGAGCAAAATGAAGTAAGGCAAGGATAATCAAGCACCTATTACCCCCGAGTAACTACTTTACAGTGCTTGGAAGGGTGCTACCATTTGAGCTGAGAGGAAATAAGTAAAAGCATTTGGTAATCTCCATTAGAGACCTGAAAGTTTAATCATTTAACTGAGAGGGAACTCTGCCGTTCATCTGACATTAATTGCAGGAGCGATGTTTGTAACAGAGAAGCGCCCCAGAGAGAGAACTTTCAGAGGTTGTTTATAACTTTGTTCTCCTCTTTCCTCTGGCTATGCAGGCGCCCTGACATGCTCTCCTTGCGGTTTCCAAGATATATAAGTGGCCCTAAGTGTAACAAGAGATTTTTTTTTATCTGTCTGTGGTTTGGGTCAGGCTTAAGCGCCAAGCATAGAAGTAGAGGCTTCTTTCATGGTATCCTGTGTGGTGTACCACTTTCTGCTGCTAATCTTCACGTTGTATTTGCTAGTTCCCAGTTTAATGTGGAATTTTCTTTACTTTTGGTCACAATGTGTGATTAGATTTTCATGTGAAAAGAGCATTAAACCATTACAAATTGCTTTTTGTCTGACTGCTACTTTTTGGGGTTATTTGACTTTGTCTCTTTCTGTCCGTCAGAGCTGCTGGAACTGCGGACGCAAGGCCAGTGAGACATGCAGCGGCTGCAACACGGCACGTTACTGCGGCTCCTTCTGCCAGCATAAAGACTGGGAGAAGCATCACCACGTGTGCGGTCAGACCCTGCAGGCTCAGCAGCAGCAGCAGGCCAGCCAGCAGCAGGGAGGGGTTCCGGGTTCAGAGACCCCCGCTCCCATCAGCTCCTCCGCTTGCACCCCAAGCAGCGGGACCGGGAGTCCGGCTGCTACCCCCCCTGCTGCCACCCCTCGCTCATCCACCCCTAGCACCCCGTCCTCCTCTGCCCTTGATGGCACACCACGCTAAGAAACTCACACAGAGGTAGGAGGCAAAGGCTTCCCAGGTGTAACAGCCAGCCCACAACCCGACAACTACCGTGGCTGTCTACATTGCCCTACAAAGATGCTTAGATACTAGAATGAGACGGCAATACTTCTATCTTGCAGCGTAGTCATAGAAGGAGGAAGTCCATAATCAGGTCATATTGACTTGCCATGACTTTAAAGAAACACAAAGATATTCTTTGTTTTGAATGAATGAATTTAAAAGTTGACATTCTTTTACTGTTACACTTGCTATTCTTGTTGACTGTTTGTCCTTGTACCTGTTGTTGTTAAAGTTGTCGTCATTGTAGCTTATCTTATTTTCCCCTGTAAATATGAAGAGACTGATCAGAGATAGCCGTGAACTCAAGACAAGTATATCTGACCTGCCCTTTTCAAACGTTTTTATTTTTCATCCTGGAGTCAGTGGTTATTTCCTTCCTGTACACGAGACTAGTCAACCTCAGACATTTATCAAACAGCATATCACGGGGAATGTAACTGTCTCAGAGAAAACTTTGGGATAAGAGAGATATTAGATTTAAAAATCCTGAAAGACACACAAAAGGATGAATAAGCATGTTCGCTGCCTGGAGAGGGGAGAGGGGATGGACTGAATCTCCAGCCCACAGACCGCCACGAAACGGGCAGATGTGCAGCAGATTGCCAGCTGTTCAACTGATGTTATTTCCCTCTCACTTGTAATAATATCCAGGTCAGTGGTCTGGGAAATACAAATCCATTTCTCTGATGTAAAAGGAAGAATTCTTGGATAAGATACAAAAACCTTGCACACTTGGAGGACGGACCAAATACAACTCGATCGCTTGGTGGGTCACAGACGCTCTCAAACAGGAAGTGAAGTCATCAACCCACTGGCAAGACTGTCAAATGACCTCGACAGCAGGCTCGGAAAACATAGACTCGCCCCAGACAACCTCCCCTCCTATCTCGACTCTGACAACATTTTTCATCTTTCTTCACATTCTTACTCGTTTTCTGTAGATGTCATGGTGTTTAAGACTTCTGTCCTGTGGTGTCACCAATGGTTATTTATTGTATATGTGTTGGACAATTGTGACAATGCATAGTACTTCAACCAGTCACAACTCTAAGTCCTTCATAACTCTTTCTCTCTAGCTGGTGCAAAAAGAGATAAAAAAAAAAAAAAGAAGTGTTATCTTTTCTTTTTTTTCTTCCCCAAGCTGCTTCTTTTCTATTCTGTGTATAAGTGGTAGATTCCTTGTAGTTCTATAAGTTTTCCTTCCCTACGTCCTCAAGAAAAGACACAAGCTATATCTCAGAGCTGCTACTTGAGTCCGACCCAGATCTTTTCTGAGAACTAGCATGTTGCGCGGAATGCTAACCTAAATGTTTTGTAAAAGGGACATACATAAATGTATTTGCACTGTCACAGAGGTTATCTCGGCATGCTTCTTTTCAGCATACTTGTGTTGTCGGTATAGAGCCATAACTCATCAAGTCATTTTGTATGTAGTATTAGCATCTTCTATTCTCACTTTCTCTGGATGGGAGGAGATGGAAAAACGTAAACCACCAAACCCATTCCGTTTTTCTTTTTCTCTTTTTTTCAGTTTTGTTTTTTTTTCTTTTGGTTGTTAGGAGGGGCGGCCTTTCGTTTTTTTTTTTCGTTGTTGTTGTTTAAATAGTTACAACAGTGCATGCACATTACTGAACGTTTGTTAAATATTTGTTATTTTTTAGAAAAAACTGAAAAAACAACCAAAAAAATTATAATAATAATTTTTAAAAAACAATACAAAAAAAAAATATTCTAACAAACTAACTTTCCAAATGCAGAGGTGTAGACTCCGATTGACAGCTTTAACACTGCAAAGCACCAGGTAACACGCAGTATTAACACAAGAGTTAAACATAAAAACACCAAAAACAGCCAAAGACTGACACCAAGGACCAAAATCCTGATTTAAACGATTTTTGAAAAGAGGTTTGTCCACTCAGACATTCAGGCATTCGTTTCTCCAGCTTTTGTTCATATTTCCATGAACAAAAAGAAAAAGGATTCATTTATCTTTACCGTATTCTGGAAACCACGAGCACTCGTCTCACATGTGGAATAAGAAGGTGTGAATTGACCCCGATGAGCGTGCAGAGCGGAGATACACTTTAACTGCAGCAATAATAGCTAATGTGACACAAACGCAACTTCTGAAACCATTTTTGAAGCAATTCTCGAGATTTCTTTCCTTTTTTTTTTTTTACACATTTTTTCATTACACAACTGTCAGATTCAGTGCCCATTTCAGCTTTAAGCAGTTAAGTTTTTGATTCGCAGAGGTAAATGTGAGACTGGGCTTTCACACCAACGCCATTGTACTGTATTTATTTATTTATATCATTTGGGTTAATCCATCGCAATTTTGTCGAAAACCTTTAGAGTAAATCAGACAAACCTCTCAATCGCAGTACGAGAGCACTTACCCCGACACTCACCCCAAACACCTTGGTGCTACACAGAAGCGCGTTACAAATTCTGACCTCAAGGAACAAGTGGAGGCCCACAAAGGTTTCGGGGCAGTTTGCTCCCTCTGTACTTCCTCATCTCTCCCTCCTTGTCTAACTACAACATACACTTGCATTCTTGACTTTAAAGGGTTAAACAATCCAAAAAGGTGTCTGACACCCTACTAGCGACTTCTCAGAAGCTGTGAAGAAACAGCCAAGCTGTTTTAACACTAGTGTATTTAAAGGTATACAACAAATAATGTATGTGTTCATAATTTTCAGGGCAAAATCTGGGTTTAAAAAGAAAAAAAAGAGAAAAAAAAGTTAGGAAACACGATCATTCAATGATGCTTTGAGAAGCGTTATTGTTATTTTTTTTTTTTTTCTTCCCTCCTCTATGTGTGTTTTGCTACAAATTCCTCGGTGGCAAACAAGTCTCACTCTACCTCTTACAGCACGATAAGAGCATCAGTCACGGCGCTGATACTGGTCTAGTCGAAACCAAATGGGCACAAGAGAACAGGAAAATATAAAACCCAAAGTCGAAGCTCATACAGCTGCAAAACCATATCACTACTTGGTAACAATGCAGACCTCATAAATAAATGAAACCTAAATAGAAATGAGAAAAAAAACAGAAAAAAAAACTTTTGTTATGTTCCTTTATGCCTGTGGCATTTCTAGAGTACATCAAGAGTTTGAATTGTTTGAACAGATTTGAGAAAATTGTGCTAATTTTAAAGAAAAGTGTTGTCGATTCCAATCTCGACGGCACAAGCTAAGGTCACAGATAAGAAATGTTTCTCTTGCTCTTTTTTCTTCCCTGTTTCCCCACCGCCTTTTCTCCTCTTTTTATATTGTTTTTTTCTCTGTTGTTAAGACATGCGGAAGTGCTTGTCGATTTGTCAGCTGGGGGATATACAAAAGGTCAATCTTGGAAAAGAAAAAAAAATTGAGGCTATGAGTTTAGGCATGCCTGTTTTTCACAATGGGGGGGAACGTTATTTAAATTTCCTACTTAAAATGAAACAATAGGGAAATGGAGGGGCCGACAGCAAACAGCAAGGCCGTAGCATTAATTTGGGGGGGAAGGAGTTGAACTTCAGGGGTGGGAGGGTTTTTCCGTTCTCTTGAGAAAATTTATTGTGAAAAAAACAGAGCTCAAATAATTTGAAGTTGTTGTGCAATACTTAATTAAGACATGAAAACCACAGGTTAGTGGTAGGCTGACGCTAAGCGGTCTTTCCATCGCTTACTGTCAGTGTCCTCTAGAGAGCTTTCCAGTCTACTATGTCAGAACTGTGGTTTCTTGTTGATTTTATTTCTTTTTTTTGTTTCTTAATTTTAATTCTTTTCTTTTTTTGGGCTGTAAACTATGGTCTGTCAGTCTGTGAAACTTTGCAGTATAATTCTGGTATTGTTGTTCTTTACGGTGTAATAAATATGTTAATTCCTGCCCAGAGAATTCAGAGTTGTGTTATTTCATTACAGCGGCAAGCCTAAAGGGGCGTCCACGCAGGAAGCAATATTTTCAGTGGCGTGGCGGCCACAGACAAAAAGTCAACGACATTAGGCGACTTTAACGGGTGAAATCACAGCTGCCGGTGTGAAGTTAAACTTTTCTCTGAAGCAGCTGCCAGTGAGCGTGAAGGATGCCACTGCTTGACACATTGCAAGGTGATAACTCCATCAGAGGGTTACCTAGACGATCAGAGCCTGGAGTATCCATTAGTGACTGATTGTCAGCATCACAAAGAGAAAATCGTTTCAAATTCAAATTCAAATTTTTATTTGTCACGTACACAGTCATACACAGTAC